GGGGGGGGGAATCACCGTCTGCTAGACCTTCTGGTCCTCGTGAAGGCAGAGGCAGTCCCAAAGCAACACTGAGCCTTACATCTCTTCCCCATGGATGCCTTTCCTTACTGGGGAACTCCCTTAGACCGAGGGTTCCCCGGAAAGCCAGCTGCCACCGCTCGGGACCTCTTGAGAACATCTAGACTGACCCGCTGAGAAGGCAGTCTTCCAGCGCAGCACTGGGGCAAGGAGAAAATAACTTATGACGAAGCTGGTAGCGCCCGTGCAGTCTAGCACATGAGGAAGAGATCTGGGGTCTCACCGCCTTGGCCCCTCTTATCTGTGGGACCGCCTAGCTCTCCCTATGCTCCGCCACGGCAACGTCTGCAGGTACCAGCCTGAAAATGGGCAAAACCGACAACAGCCCGTACATGTACTCCCTCCATTGTGGCTCCCGCCTTGTGGAGCAGCCTGCCCGAGAGGAGGAGGAGGAGGAGACTGGATTTACACCCCACCCTTCACTACCCGAAGGAGCGGTTTACAATCCCCTTTCCCTTCCCCTCCCCACCCTGTGAGGGAGGTGGGGCTGAGAGAGCTCTCTCTCGAGGACTGCTCTTGAGAGAACAGCTCTGAGAGGACTTGTGACTGACCCAAGGTCACACCAGCAGCTGCATGTGGAGGAGTGGGGGAATCAAGCCCGGTTCTCCCAGATCAGAGCCCGTGCTCCTAACCACTACACCAAACTGGCTCTCAAGGTAAGCTCTCTCCTTCCTAGCTTTCCGCAAACTATGCAAAACCAAACTATTCGAGGGCTTTTCTGCGCAGGTCACGGGGTTGCGCCATACAAAACAGTTGTCCAAGACTGCTTGGATCTCTACTGCTGTGTATTTATTTGGACTTTTAGGCTGCCCTTCCCTGCGAGCGGGGAGGCTTACAACAGAATGAGATAAGAAATCTGTGTTAAGTGAAAGCTGGTAATAAAATACAGTATGGAATCAATTTTTTTTTAAAAAACAGGCTCTTCCAAGGTGGCGAGGAATTTCGACGGAAAATTGCAGCTTCCTGTAGCCTCCCAAGGGGGGGGGGGCAATGCTGGAGAGCCAGTTTGTTGTAGTGGTTAAGTGCGCGGACTCTAATCTGGGAGAACCGGGTTTGATTCCCCACTCCTCCACTTGCACCTGCTGATGTGACCTTGGGTCAGTCACAAGCTTTGGCACAGCTGTCCTTGAAAAAGAGCAGTTTGTGTCAGAGTTCTCTCAGCCCCACCCATCTCACAGGGTGTCTGTTGTGGGGAGGGGAAGGGGAAAGGAGTTTGTAAGCCGCTCCGAGACTCCGAGTGAAGGGCGGGGTATAAATCCAATCTCTTCTTCTTCTTCTTCTTCTTCCCTCTAAGTTGTGGAGTCTTGTGAGCAAAAATTCTACTTAGTGAGCTACTGGCATTAAAGTTGTGAGCGAGAGATTTGGCTACTGCATAAATCAGTTTGCTCTGGAGCCCTCCTTCCTGAGCTAAGACAAAAAAATGTGTGAGCCGGAGACTAAAAAACTGTGAGCTAGCTCACACTAACTCAGCTTAGAGGGAACACTGGGGGGTCAGGTGGGAGAGGAGCCTGAGAGCGCCAGACTGCTTATGGTGCCCGTCGCTGTCTTCAACCAAATGACCGGCGGGACATCTCTGCCTTACAAGCCCTGCAGAAAGGTAATAAATCCCGCAGGGCATGGGCATTCTCCAGCAGAGAGTTACACCCGGTGGGGGGGTCCAGGGCCGAAAAAGCCCTGGCCCCTGGTTGAGGACAGCCGGCTCCCTCTCAAGCCGGGGACCACCAAGAGATTTTTGCGGAATGTGTCGTGTGGATACTTCTGCTGCGCTTCAGTTCCTTCTGGCGGCTCCAGAACTCTAAAATCCCAATTCAATGGTTACTGAATACCCCATTTCGTCGACTGAACCAACTCACTCTTGGTACTCCGCTTTGTGTCTCTGTAAGGCAGGTGGACTAAAAATGACGCAAATAAAAAGGTTTGAAAAATCGTAAAGACACACACCCCCACCGCCGCCTAAGCAGCATCAAACCCCCTCTCGCCTCACCATGATGTTAGGCAGGGTGGCGTAGCGCGGCTCGTTGAGGCGGAGGTCGGCGGTCACGACGGCTGGCAGCTTGAGGCGCACCGTCTCCAGGCCCCCGTCGACCTCCCGTTCCACCTTGAGCCAGTCCCCGTCTACGGTCACTTCGGAGGCGAACGTCCCCTGCAGGAGGGAGAGATGGGCTGCTGGATTAACGGCAGGGCAGGTAACGCTCAATGCGCTGTGAATTAAATATGGAATTGCCCTAGCTGCACACATTTCCGAATTCGGATCAGCTTTGAGAACACAACAGAGGAGGACGAGAGCAGCCCCCCCTCCCCACCTCGCCTGAGCCCGCGGGCTCCTCTGGAACGCTGAGACAAAATGCCACGGAGTGAGGTCATGCGGAACTCGAATGGCAACCCTTCAACATTTCAGGCAAGGAGCTCTGTTTAACAGGAGGCCTTTTCAAACGAACATGCTGTTTTCAAATGTTCTCTCGCGAACACACGGCTCACTTTCAGCCTCGCTGCGAATATTCCTGTGCTGGGGTGGCGGCGGCTGCCGAAACGACTGTTTCAAAAGCACGCACAGCAGATGAGATCTCCAATGACCCATCGGAAACCCTGCCAGGCAAGAGCCCCATCTGGCTTTGCCCACTTTCTAAAAACATGGGGCGGACACTGAGAAAGGTGTCAGAGGATGCCCTCGTGAGCACCAGTCTGGTGTCGTGGTTAGGAGCGTGGACTCGAACCTGGGAGAACTGGGTCTGATTCCCCACTGCTTCACATGCAGCCAGCTGGTGTGACCTTGGGTCAGTCACAAGTTCTCTCAGAGCTGTTCTCTCACGAGCAGTCCTCGAAAGAGCTCTCTCAGCCCCACCTACCTCACAGGGTGCCTGTGGTGGGGAGGGGAAGGGAAAGGAGATGGTAAGCTGGTCAGAGACTCCAAGTGAAGGGTGGGGTATAAATCCAAATCGTCCTCTTCTTCATGTTGGGAACCCTTGCTTAAAAGGCTATTTAATAAACCATGGTGGTGTATGCATGTGCGGATATATTTTTATGTACTAAAATGATTTAGGACCTGAAAGACCTGCGTCAGTAAAAACATCGCCAGCACCAAGCAAGAACCGCCGTGGAAAAAAGCTAAGAAGAAGACCTTGCCGAAAATAGGGGGTGCCTGGGTAAGGAATTCACCTCCCCTGTCTATGTGCCTCTAGGATAGAAAAACTGTACAAACTATGTAAACCGCCCTGAGTCTACGGAAAGGGGCGGTATAGAAATCCAATTTGTAATGTAATGTAATGTAATTTATTTGGTGGGTATACTCAGATTCCTACTTGTATCCATTTAGTGAGGCTTGCTCCCAGGAAACAGCTGTCAATAGGTCTCTTTTCTGACTGCAACACAGCTGGGGTATTTCTGGAGCTACTACCGAGCCCCACTGCGCAGACGAAACAGATGTCCGGCACGGGCAGTACAACTGTGATAAAGTGGCAGGCGTTGTGATGGTCCAGGGGTACCAAAGGGCTGAGGCTACGACCTGCTGGCACTCCAACAGTTTCAAAGAGGCCTATGGCCCCCATTAATGGCTGAAAGCCCCTGGCATCCACTGCAGAGAGGCTGGGGCGGGGGCAGACGCACAGTGCCAAGACCCGGGCAGAGTGCCATCGGAAGGTCCGCGGGCTGCCCCGTCGACGTGATCTTGGAACCGTTTCCCGAGCAGAGGGGTACGAGGCTCCCTCCCTCTCTCCGGAAACTGGGCCACTGCGCGGTAATAAGATTTCGAACGGTCATTTGCCTCCCAGCCGCCCCGGTGTCTCATCTGCACGTTAATTAGGCCGTCGCTAACTGGAACAAAACAGATTGCCGGCGATTGGTTCCGCCCCGAGCGTTCCCGCAACAGCCAGACCAGAGGACTTCTTCCTCTCGATTGAAAAATGAAAAAGAGGAAAGAAAAAAGGAAGATTTCCTTACCGGGGGGTGGGTGGGTGGTGGATCAATCCACTCTCGTTCGGGCGAAAAGAACTATTCCAGGCTGACCACCCCCTTGAACGAGACTTTGGCAATACTCCCTCTAAGCTGTGGAGTCTTGTGAGCAAAACTTCTGCTTTGTGAGCTACTGGCATTAAAGTTGTGAGCGAGCAATTTGGCTGCTGCGTGAATTAGTTTGCTCTGGAGCCATCCCTTCCTGAGCTATGACAAAGATGTGTGAGCCGGAGGCTAACATTCTGTGAGCTAGCTCACACTAACTCAGCTTACAGGGAACACTTAAGTGGGTTTTGGGTCGCAGTTTGGGCACTTGGTCTCTAAAAGGTTTGCCACCACTGGCCTAGAGCCTCCCTGACAAGTGTTCGTCCAGCTGCTGCTTGAAGACTGCCAGGGAGGGGGAGCTCACCACCTCCCGAGGCAGCTGATTCCATACTTATGAAGGAAGGAAAAAAATACTCAGTGGAGGGGCCATGGCTGAATGGCAAAGCATCTGCTTGGCATGCAGAAGGTCCCAGATTCAATCCCCGGCATCTCTCGTTTAAAGGGCCAAGTAGCAGGTAATGTGACAGACTTGAAACTCAGGCGACCTGTGCCAAGCAGGGTAGACAAGACAGACCTTGCCCCACCAAGGTTCTCATTCAGTCAGACATGTACCTACCTACGGTGGGGCTTTGGGAGGCTCCGCCCCCTTTCTTAAAGGCACAGCCCCACAAGAATTTCTCCTCTAAATGCTTTTTTTCGCTTTTGAACGTTTTTTAAAGGTGCGTGCTTCTTTAAGCAAAGCAGGGTGTTGTAGTTGACTAATTCCCATACTGAGCAAGGGGGTTGGAGGAGGCGACCTCTAGGATCTCTTCTAACTCTGTGTCAGGAAACTGGTCTCCTTTAAGAGAGTTTTCCTGCCTAAGTGTTGGCTTTCTTGACTATAGAAGTCATCACCCGCCCACCTGCCGGTTCCTTATCAGAATGGTTGCTTAGGCTGACAGAACTGATTAGGCTGGCAGAAGTGATTAACTTGCACCAGCTGAGAACTGTCATCTAACCGTGGTGGACAGCTTGCAGTTTAGAGAACTATCCTGCTAACAGCTTCCTATCGGCTAAACGGCTTTTCTTTCTGCCGAAACAAAAATTCCCCCCACAAGCCACAAAATCCTGGCTACAGGGCCTGCCCTCGGGTTCATACAGGAACCAAATCTCTCCACCTTCCTCAATGGGCATGACGGCCTGCAGAGGGGAGGGAGCCAGCGGCCAATCAGCTCCGCCGACTTGGCGCCCACCTTCGCCTCACCTCTTGCACGGGCACTCACGTCATACCTGAGGCCAGTCCAGAAACGCAGCTGTCATTTGCCCCGTCTGGTTACAGTCGTCGTCGATGGCCTGGGAAACAAGCAAAGGGTTAGGGCCTGTGTGTCCGTAGGTGGGTGGGGGAATCACGCAGAGGACAAGCACAGCTTGTGAGTCGCTCTCCTGGACCCCAGGGCAGCAGGCCACTCCCAGGCGAGGTGCAGATTCACCACCTGGAGCCTAAACCCCCCTGTGGGCGTTTCTCAGGAATCTCCCAGGATTAAGCCTGAGTTTTCCTCAACAAGCCCGACGAGCCAGCAGGGGCCGCTGTGGAAGCCAGCTAACTGAAGTCCCCCCTCCAAGAAAGAACTGCGCGAAGAGGCATGTGACCGCCCGGAAAAAGACGGAAGGAGAAGCAAGAACATCTGCGGGGGGGGGGGAAGCATTTGGAGGGTATCTGGTAGGGTTCTCATCCCCCTGAATTTGTGGCCATAGTTAGGATTCTAGAAAGTGTGTGCACACACGATACTCTGTAAGCCGCCCAGAGCCCTTTGGGGGTGGGCGGGGTAAAAATCCCATGTAGTAGTAGTAGTAGTAGTAGTAGTAATAATAATAATAATAACAACAGGACGTTTCTCAGGAATCTCCCAGGATTAAGCCTGAGTCTTCCTCAACTTCCCGCACAGCCGAGAGAGTCAAGCTACTGGCTGGAACAGGGCTGTTAGACAGGGTGAGTCAGCCATGGAGCAGGACTCGGTGTCACTCTCAGGAAGCCGGCCTAGGAGCGGGGACACGGATGGCCACTAGGGGGCGTGCGGTCAACTTGCTCCTGCGATGGGGACAAGAGACTTCCGTGTCCCTCGGAACAAACGAGCAGCAGAGCGAGTCGAGAGGGGGCCGTGGCTCAGTGCAAGAGGCTCTGCTTGGCGTGCAGGAGGTCCCAGGTTCAGTCCCTGGCGTCTCCAATTAAAAGGACCAGGCAGTAGGTGATGGGAAAGACCTCTGCCTGATACCCTGGAGAGCCGCTGCCGGTCTGAGTAGGCAATACTGGTCAGTATACGGCCGTTTCATGGGTGTTCGTGTGAGAGTGGCGACCCCTCTTGCCAAATGGCAGCTGTTTCAGGCCCAGAACCTGTCAGATACGGGGAAACTCATGAACCGCGCATAAAGCAGTGGAAGCAGCAAGACAGTCCTTCCAGTCCCCTGCTCCTTTAGAAGAAGACGAGATTGGATTTATACCCCGCCCTTCACTACCCAAAGGAGACTCAGAGCGGAAGAGCCAGTTTGGTGTAGTGGTTAAGTGCGCGGACTCTAATCTGGGAGAACCGGGTTCGATTCCCCACTCCTCCACTTGCACCTGCTGGATGACCTTGGGGGCAAGCCATAGTTCTGTCAGAGCTGTTCCTGAAAGAGCAGTTTGTGTCAGAGCTCTCTCAGCCCCACCTACCTCACAGGATGCCTGTTGTGGGGAGGGGAAGGGAAAGGAGTTTGTAAGCCGCTCTGAGACTCTGAGGGAAGGGCGGGGTAGAAATCCAATCTCTTCTCCTTCTTCTTCTTCCACTCTCCCTTCCCTACAACAGACACCCTGTGAGGTAGGTAGGGCTGAGAGAGCTTTTGAGAGAACTGCTCCTGAGAGAACAGCCCTGAGAGAACTTGTGACTGACCCAAGGTCACACCAGCAGCTGCATGTGGCGGCGTGGGGAATCAAACTCGATTCTCTCAGATAAGAGTCCGCACTCCCAACCTCTACACCAAACTGGCTCTCCCTCCCTTTAGGTCCCCTTGGGCAGGCTGAGTTCATCATGCAGGGCGGCCCACAAAAACCCTTCTGGGATCTCACCAGCCTCTGCCCAGGCACTGAGTTGGCAATCAGCTCCCTGCAAGGAGACCTCCGATCCCGTCAGCCCTGGGCCTGTCCACTAGGCCTCTCCTCTGCCCAAATCTCCCTCCCCTATTGGCAATTCCACTGGATAACGAAGCCGATGAGAGGAGGTACCATCTGGGGATTTATTAACTCTCTTAGCCCGAACGTGGACGACGCACCCACAGAGGATACTGTTTGCCAGTTAGATCCCCCCTGCTCTTCTCAAGAGGGGGCACGTGCTGAAAACCTAACCTTTACTCGCGGACTCTAATCGGTGAGAACCGGGTTTGATTCCCCCACTCCTCCACATGCAGCTGCTGGTGTGACCTTGGGTCAGTCACAAGTTCTCTCAGGGCGGTTCTCACGAGCAGTCCTTGAAAGAGCCCTCTCAGCCCCGCCTACCTCACAGGGTGTCTGTTGTGGGGAGGGGAAGGGAAAGGAGATTGTAAGCCGCTCTGAGACTCCTTTGGGAAGTGAAGGGCCGGATATAAATCCAATCCCCCCCTCCCCCTCCTTCTCCTTCTCCCTTCGGTTCTGGCTGGCAACCACGGGGGCTAGAAACCTGACACTGAAGCGGAGCCCAGCGACTCACAGGGCTCCACTTTCGTGCTGCCTGGCGGTCCTCCGAGCCCCTCCTACCTGGTCTGTCTCACCTGCTTGCCGAGCAGCAGAAGGTCGACGCCCTCCTTCTTGGCCAGCGCAGCGAGGATCTTCGAAACGTGGAAGGGGCTGAGGTGCTCGTAATCGCCGGCGGGGACCTCCACGTGCATCCCCCGGTCGGCCCCCATCGCCAGGGCTGTGCGGATTGTCTCCTGGGGGTGGGGAGCGCAAGAGTTGAAGCGTCAAATCCTGGACCTGGCCGATCTGGGTGCCCCATGGTGAGGCCAGGTACCAGCCCCTTTCTCCCTCGGCAGTGGCTGAAGACCCTCCCCATGCGGGGAAACACCACCCCCCCTCGGTTGTTGCCAGAGGTCATTTTGGGCGGGATCGCAGGGGATCGCAGTTTCCCCGGGTGAGGTACGGGGGGCGGGACACATGACGAAGCCCCGCCCCCTGCTTCCGGCCGCCCCGCTTCCGGCCCTCATTCAGCCAGGAGGAGGCAGGAGAAGAGGGAGGGTAAGTTGCTTCCTCCCTGCCTCTCCCCACCCCTGCCTGCCTGGGGCCAGGGAGGGCCT